GCAGAGAGATGTCTTCTGCTTGCCTCCCCCCTCCCTACCCAGCTCCTGGTTTTTTTTTTCCTTTTTAAATACTTACTTTTTTTTTCTATCTTGAGCCCAGGTCATCCCCTTTACATGTTTAAGCTTCCCTTTCCTACCCTCTCCTTGGCAAGGCCCTTGGGCTGGGCTGGGAAGGGTTCACTGAAAATCACGAAGCTGCCCTCTAGAGAAGAAGGAGTCATCCTAGGAGGTTTTAGGGCCCAGGGGTAATTTTCTTACTGCTTCTTCCTTGTGCCCAGTTCCAATAACTGTTTTGGAGTCTGGGAGCAGTAGAACATACCCAGAGGTACTGGCAGGAAGAACTTTGGCCTTGATATTTTCTCTTCATTTTCACTTTTAGAATAAAAGAGTTGTGTATATAGGGGGTGGGGACTGCCTCTTGGGCACATTCTATTGATAATAGAAATGACTTTCCAAGTGGAGAAGTGGGAGACTGGCAAGAATAGAGAGCAAATGCAAACTTCCGGTGTCACTTGGAGAGAATATGGATTGTGCACAGGACAGAAGTCAGAGAGGGGCTGGATATCTCTGCTCTTTCAGTGCATGTGCATATGTATTTCTGCCTGTGAGTGGGTATGCCACTGTGTATATGCACATGCATATGTGTGAGGATGCTATATGAATGTGTACCAATATATTTATGTAGAAGTTTGTGTAGAAATGGACATACATACATGTTTATATGTATGTGTGGCTTATGTATGCATCCATGCACATATGTGATTGTGGAGACAATTACTTAATTAAACCTATGTGTATGGTGCTCATCCAGTGATGCATATATGTGAGTATAAGTATGCATCTGAACATACATGTGGGAACACATTTATGCACATATGAATATATGTACATAAGTTGAGTCATGCATGTGAATTAGTATGACAGAAAGAAAGAATGAGAGAGAGAGAGAGATTGATTCTGACTGAACATTGAGGCTGTCCAAAAGTTGTTTCCCACAAGCTTGAACTTGATCTACTCTGATGCCTGTGGCTCTTCTTCAGAAAGCAGGTTCCTGAGTCTCTCAAATTCTCTTGTCGCAGGGACCCAGTTGTTCCCCACCACCATCCATATGAAGGGAGTTTGTAGAAGAGAAACCTATACAGCCTTGGGGACATCTGGGGAAGGAGCTGAGACTAAGGCTCATCAGATACTAGGGTGCTCAGGGGTATATATGGGGAAAAAGTTTGGGAGCTTAAATATTCACATCACTACAGAGGTTTCAAGAATCAAGCAGAACCAGTTGGGTTTAGTGGATGAAAGGGACAGGCATAGTAGGTAGGCCCAAGTGTGTTCATAATACTCACACATATGGGGCATGTGGCAATAGGTGTCTACATGTGCATGTATATTACTTGTCAGTGCCTTAGTATGCATATCTCAAAGTAAATACACTTTCTAACATGTAAACATGTGAAAAATCCAAAAGATATGTTAGCATGTGCGTGTAGGCTAGCACACATATCTGTTTGAAGAAAGTATGCAGAAATATGTGGGCATATGCTAACACTGGCCTCATTGCAACCTGTGACTGCATACATGTGCACCTCACTCACCCTGCTTAGTCACAGCTTGTAAATAGTCCTGTTTCCATCACGTGTGGCTCACCCAGTGCAGCCAATGTTTATTTTATGCCTGTGATGTGCCACGTATTGTGCTGGACACTGGGGATGGTCCTTGACCTCAGGTAACGTACAGTGTAGAGAAGGAAAACTACCTGGAACCAAGTAAGGAAGGTAGGAGGACATGTGTTCATCAGGGGCAGTGGGGACCGATGAGGGGTTGGTCATTTCTGGAGTGGGGAAGGGAGAGGTTTGGTAAAGGATCTAGAGGAGAGGAGGTCTTTGAGCCAAGGCTTGAAGGTTGAAGTGGTGTTCTTCAGGTGAGCAACTGTAGGAAAAGGAGTTTCAGTGACAGGAAATGTCCCAACTGGTCTCTCTACTTCCACCCTTGCCAGCCCCTCCTCCACAGATTCTCCTGCAGAGCAGCCAGAGTAAGATGAGGTAATGCCTTTCCAACGGCTTCCCATCTCACTCAGAGAGAAATACACAGTGCTTAGCGGGGCCCGAAAGACAAGTACTGTGTGTAAAATGCCCCCGTGACCTTCCTGGGCTCAGGTGCCACCCGACACTGGCTTTCTTGTGGTTCCACGAAGATGCTGAGCATAGTCCCACCTTGAGGCCATTGCACTGGCTTTTCCCTCAGCCCGAAATGCTCTTCCCCCAGATACCCACGTGACTTGCTCCCTCACTTTATTCAAAAAATAAATTGGATGGATTCAAGATCCCAACTCCACTTTTGCTCAGAAGCCACTTTTTTGAGAGGCCAAAGTCTATCTTAATAGCCCCTTGTCATTCTATCCCCTCATGGCACTTTTTTTTTTAATTTTAGCACTTACCACCTCCATTATTTCATATATTTGTTTATCATCTTTTTCCACTAGAACATAAATTTCATGAGAATGGGAGCTTCATTTGTTTGTGTATTGCTGTATCGACTGTGTCCCGCGGAGTTCCTGGCTTAGAGTAGGCCCTCAGTACATACTTACCGAATACACCAATTTTAGGTAGATCACACTGGTAGCCCGCGAAGAGAATGGGTGGCGCTGGGCCAAGATGTGACTGCGTTCTCCCTTCCTTTTGGATCTTGTCACCACCACCCCACATATGCTTACTCCTGCCAGCCAGGTGCAGAGGGCGGCCATGCCAGGTCCCTCTGGCTCTATTCAGTTAATGATACAGGGCTTCCCACTCAGGCAACAGGGGCAGAGAGCAGGGTCCTGAACAGTGGAAAGGTTTTAGGAAGTTAGAGCCAACAGAGGCTTAGAGACACATGGACAGAGGCAGGCAGACCCCGAGAAGAGTGCTCAAAGTCAAGGCCCAGACTTCAGGGCCCAGACTTCTTGAGACTAGACACAGGGGGAGACAGGACAGCATCCTCAGACAGCACCTGCAGTCTAGCCCCCACCTCCTTCGCTCCTCTGTTCCTCTCCCTGCCCCACTCCTGCTCCTCTCTCCTGATGGGGTGTGTGCCTTGGCCAAGTGTGGGCTTAGTAGGGAGTG